GGCTAGGCGCCTTTCGCTCCGTCAAGAAAATACCGGCGTGACCTTGTCGGGAATTCTGCAACAGCCCTATAAATACACGTGTAGCAATCTTTGTGAACGACTGCTTCAAACTCCAATGCTTCTTAGATAGCATGGCATGCGTGATATCAAGCTAAGAAACAACGTGGAAGTTGTGACTGCAGCTTTCATGCTGTGGGTTACTCCACAACAGGGAAGACAAACAGCGACTATCTTTTTCGTAAATCCTTGAGTCCCTTCTCCCAAGCCATCTGTCCAGTTCCGATCTTCAGCCACTCCAGATCGGACATGGGAAGCCCGCTTTGCTTGACCAAAAGCAGCCTGGTTTGCGTGGCACATGACCCAGCACCTTAACTTGTAGTGCTGGACGCGCTTCTTGGGTGAGAAACCTTCTACTTCATCAAATACACGTTTTCTAATCACATTGTGAACTCATTGATCAAAGGTTCTAAACTGTCTCATATCCTCGACCTGAGTCTGCTAAGCCTCACGGCATGACAATAAAGGCTGCAGTGTAGCCGTGTACATGTACCCTCTGAAGACCAGGTGATAGGGCTTTCTAACCCCACAAGTGGTGCGAATCTTCGGACGTAATTGTGGTCTTCGAGATCTGTGTGTTGACTTCGTCTACCACACTATCGTCAGGGCCTACGCAACTTCCGACTAACGTAGTGTTCTGCAGCTACCAGTATCTCATCTCCAGCTCAACACGAATTTCTCCCAAACCCTTCTTGCGTGACAAACACGCTCGTGTTTATGGACAGCTTAACCCAAGCCAAGGACGAGGGGTTCATATCCGGTGCTCCACGAACTCGAGTCTTACAGGATTCATGGGAAAATCCTACACTGGATCAAGGCGCTCCTATCAGACACATCGTTCTGAGTGGAAGTAGGCTCGACCTACTCTTCCCCAGCACCGGTCTCCATTGGAGTTCCTCAAGGCTCCGTCCTTGGACCACTGCTGTTTCTGATATACGTCGACAACCTTCCACATGTTCTTGCAAGCCCATGTCTACCTTTTGCGGGCGACTTGAAATCCTGGAGTACCAATGCCAGTGCTCTCCAAATGGATCCAGACGCTGCAAAGCTGTGGCCGTTGGACTGGCACCTTCCTCTGAATGATCAAAAGTGCATCCGTATGTCATTTGGAGGAGACTCAGCGAGTGTCTTTGTCATGCATGGTAAGAATGCACCAGAAAACATCATGAGAGTAGATACCAAAAAGGATTTGGGTGTCTGGCTCTCCTCAAACTTGTCCTTCTCACTTGACCATGAGAAATCAGCCCGTCCGCCATTTTACGCATGACTCGGTGCACCTTCTCCCGTATTACTCGCATGGACTTCCGAATACTCTATGAGGCCTACTTCAGACCGCTCCTTAAATACGCCGACCAAGTTGTCTACTCAGAACACATGAAGGACGTCACCCTCATTGAACGTGTCCAGCGAGCCGCTACGAAAATTGTTGCTGGCGTCAAATCCTTGGACTACGAAACGCGTCTCGCGGTGCTTGATCTCTTTCCCCTGGAGTACCGTTGCCTCCGAGGGGACCTAATTCTTACTCATCCCCCGTCTGAACAAAGCTTGGCCGGCAGGTTTTTCACCATTGACCCAACAAACACACGGCGGGGTCATAGAAGGTTTTGCAAGCTCAGAGCGCACACATTGATTAGGCGAAATTTTTTCTCATTTCGGGTAGTGGCTGCTTGGAATAACCTTCCTCCGACGGTTGTCCACCCGAGTCCTCGCGCTGGCAATCATACTATCCCACGCTGTGAACATAAAGAGCAGTGCTACACCCTTTTTCACTTGTGCCTTTCAGTTGAACGATAGCTAATGAACAACAAGAACAAAACCGACCAGGGAAACTTGGACAAAGGCCTCGATCCTGTGTATCAATCCGTGAATCCATAAATCGGTATGCTCAAAGACTGCGTCCCGCAGTTTGACTTTTCGTATGCGAAACGGACATGACGAATGTTTGGACACGCTTGGTCAGCCTTTTTGGCTGTCATCATCATTATCATGGGGCGAGATCGCCCAAGTGGTGAGATCGCGAATTTACTGACCGGAGGGTCTGTGGTTCGAACCCGACCTCTGCCTCTCGACTCCCCTGTCTAGGCTTGGGCAACCTGGCAGTATCCCAGCCCTCGTGCAACCTTCGGGTGGCATAGCAGTTAGGCACCGAAAGGCTGCTACGGTCAGAAACGAGGACTTCAGCTGAGATGGACTGAGGTAATATGTGTTTCGGAGGCACAACATAGTCGATCGAGGAAGATTACAAGGCCTAAGAAAGCCACTCGTTCCCCAGTTTGATACAGTCTGAACGTTGAGAGCGGTAATGTGTAACAGACCCCTGAATTCAGTAAGGGTTTGTTTTGATTCTGTAGGTAGAAGTCGGTGGATAAGGAACTCGAAAGGCTAATGGTATATCCAGGTTACCCAGGCTGTAAAAGAGGGCTGGGTTGAAGTATCCACATTGAACCTTTGGCTAAAAAAACTTGACTCGCAAGGTGGTGAGACAGGGTAGGGTTTTGTCTGGGACCTTCCCCCTATCCTCTGGTTGAAAAGCCCGAACTGCGAGGCAGTGGTCGTTGAGCTTCTCTTGAGGGACCCTGTCCGGAGTCAATGACTCAATGTCATCACCATCATCAGCTACAATAACCGCGCACTCGTCGTACAGTAGTTATAGCTGCCACCGATAATTTTTGGAGGTGACTTAACAATCTGAACCAGTTAGCCTGGCCCAAGGACGCAGAGAGTAAGGCAGTGCTATCCCACTCTTAATGGGACTGCACACAGCAGATACCTTTTAAGCCGCACTGGACTCTTTGATTTTAAAAGTATTTCAACCGTATCGAATAACGCGCCGACGGTCACTTACAACTGTTGGGTGATCGGAGTGTGTGGTTTTAGAGCCGGCCTCTTGTGACCGATCATTTTCGGGGGATCATTCGGGGGGCAGCATCACTGCCTCCCTACATTTGGACGTGGTGGTCACCTGAACGAACCACTTTACTGCATTCACACTCTTATCACAGAAGCCATTATGGCTTTACCTACAGACTGCTATGCGGTCTCTTGTAGTATGGTAGTTCGCTGTCCTTCGGGTTGCTCACAGTTGGCTTTTCCGGCAAACTGGCCCTTTAGGAACTGAGTTCCAACCAGCGTCCCCTAAAGATCATTGCCGCACTGAAGTCCGACTAACACAGCAATGTTAGGTTAGGAGTAAAAATTCGGCCAATTCGGATGTAACTCATCCAACAAACCGTCACCTTACGGGCCGAAGACTAAATGGAGCAGTCGTTCTAGTTTAATTGAACATAAACCTCGCTTAACAAGAGCCGAGTTTGAAGGTTGGGTTTTTGGGGCCAAACCGCAACTCAGGTATCTCCATGATATCGATGCATGAAAAATCGTACCACTCAACGGTAGCCTTCTTTCGGTGCCTAGCCGCCATGCCGCCCTAACGAAGGGCGAAGGTTGGGATACCGCCATGTTTCCCAAACCTAGACAGGGGGATCGAGATGCGGGTCGGGTTCGAACGATGGACCTTCTGGTCAGTAAATTTGCACTCTAACCACTGAGCCAGCTCACCCCACACATCCATGAGCTTTCGCACACTGTTAGAAACTATCGAGAAGCCTTTGATTTTTATTTAGTTATTTGATAGTACCTTGCTAATTGAATTAACTGAACCTGCAGGTGCCATCAGCCATTGAAGACCTCTTGTAACAGAAGGAATACATGCTTACGCCCACCGCGAAGGGAAGTAATTTCCGCGTCTTCTGGAAGAGACTAATGCGATGGACGGGTCGTCACCTCTTATCACAGACCCCGGCTACCCACGGAAGTCCCTAGTGCGTGAATTGAGCGGGCACATACACTCGTGAGCCGCAGTAGTTGCAGTACGACCTACAGTACAGATTCAATGCACAGTGGTGAGCGCATTTCTAGCAGAAATGACGGTGGTTACCACAGGTGCAAACGCCGGTGTAATGAATGTAAAATCCCTTCGAAACTAATGTAATATGGCGAACTGGCAAAAAAAGGAGAGCTTACAACTACTTCAGTCGTAGATCCCGCCATTCGGATGAGCTGTCAAACCTCTTAGGAAAACAAAGCAACTTTATGTAAGGTGATCACTTAGAGACCACCCCTGGCGGTATACATTGCTTCCGATTTGTCGGCATCACTATTGCTTTCCATCATTTTGGATTCTCCAACTTCCCTTTATGCAGAGGACGGGAGGTCCCGGTCCTCTAACAACGACGGTCCCAACCTACTGACCAGAAGGTTCATTGTTCGAACCCAATCCCAGTATCTTGACTGATCCTATCCAGGCTTGGGAAACCTGAGAGTCTCTCAATCCTGCTTCAGGTGACATGGCAACTGAGCGCCGAGAGTGTTTCAACTGGACGATTGTCGTATTTGTTGTCCGTAACACCTAGCTGCTTAGGTACCTCGAAGGAAGCGCTAGGGCTAAGACACTGCCAGGTCATACCCAAGGGGTGCAGGAGCGGAACGATTACGGTGGTGATGGTAGTGGTGGTTGTGCTGTGGACAGAAGCAAACTGCTCGAACAGAAATGATTTGGACTATGAGCGGTCACATCTGCATAATGTGTCTTCCCTTTCTATGTCGGCTCCAGGTATAATAATATTGTTAGAGACATGCCCTGTGATTTTTAATCAATCCTGTGTCCTTTTAGGACTGGTAGGGGGAATAATTCCGGCTTCGTATTCGATCTGCCGATACTCTCAATCTCTTCTAAAAGTATTGCTGCTTGCTGTTCTTTTTTGCAGCCGCTTGTATTCCACTTTACTACCAAACCTGGTTTTCATCACCTCTAATCCGATCATCAAACTGCTCACTATTCAATGAATCTGTTCCCTATATTGCGATGGCCGAATCCGTTCCAGATTCAACTAGTGAGTTATGAGTTAGCATCTTCAGCATACTCATGTGAATTTTTATTTCAGATTCACCTGCGTCCTCAAAATCCGCACTGCGCTCAGAGGTGAGTCTGTTTGTGATTTTGTTTGACATCTTGATTCCTAGGTCTTAGCATTTTTCAGCCCGTCTACTCCGCACCAGAATTCTTCACTCACTCCGCGCATAGCTATTGTGGAAGCTGCGAAGCCGCAAACGAAAACACTCACCGTCACACTTGAAAACGGTAACTTTGGCACATCCGGCGGGCCAGACGGTACCGGTGCATCTGAACCTTCATCGTCTTTCGACGGTGTTGGGAGCTGTGGTGGTTATTACCGTCTTGATCGTCTGGACAGTGTGATCAATCCTACTGTGACGGCCAAACTTGACCGAATGGCTCAACAACTTGGTTTTCACGTGCCCAGTAAGTCACATCCGGTCGACCAGAATGGGCAATTACCAGACTGGGACGAAATCCATTTGGAAGACAACCTGTCTACACCCAGTGTACCTGGAGAGGTGGATGTCACTGTGAATCACAACTATCATCAGGTTCTTCCGCCATCTGTATCTCGCAAACGCTCAATGTTTTCCAATTTCGCTAAGCGGTTTTCCATCCCTCGTCACAAAACAGCAGGAACGCCAAATTTGGTTTCGCAAACTGGGGATTCTCTGTCCAAAGACAGTCCTGCCACACCACCATCGAAGATAAAAAGGGGCTCCTCAAGGCCTCGTAGACTTCGGCGGTGGTTGAGTCGTCATTTCTGGAGAACAAAGCCTAATCAGGGTGAGTGACTACTTTTAGCGTGATTTCCCAAGTGATTTCTAGAATAGGAATTTCGTCTACGGATTTGTTATCCAGGTCGTTCCCGACTTGAGCTTTAGGTAATCCAAAGGTTAAGTCGTGAGCCTCGGATGGAGAGGCCTGTTGTTCCAATGCGAGGCCGTTTTCATCTAAACAGCCAAGTCCTGTCTAAGCACTCATGCTTTTTTCGGTTGGAACAGCGACGATAGGAGGCCATAGCTGAAAGATTTGATTTGTTCCAAATCACGCCGCAAGGTCCGTGGTTCGAACCCGACCTCTGCCTCTCGACTTCCCCTGCCTTGGCTTGGGCAACCTGGCAGTATCCCAGCCCTCGTGCCTCTTTCGTGTGGCATGGCATCTAGGCACCGAAAGGATGCTACAGCTGAACGATCTTTTTCAAATCACAATACTGAAACTGGTAATTCAATGGGCTCGTGAGCTAACTAACAGCATCATCATCTTCAAAGACAGCAACATCAGTGTTGACACTGACGCTAAACTGGCGCACAACCATAAGGTTCCACTTATATTTGAAGTTCTAGAGTGAAAAGAAGAGCAGAAGAGTGGGTAAGGGAGGACACCTAGTGCCGGCCTACGTCAAACATTGTGGTGTGCATACACCAAGCGCTCAATAAGACACTCTGACAGCACGAACGCCACTGACACCGATCAGCCACCATTTCTTGCAACGTTTCCAGCCAAGCGCACCTAGGGTCACGGGGACCCCATCCTGGAAGGCGTAGAACACCAATAACAAAGGATAAATGAAACAGTCCTGAAGTCTCCAGTCTGTTGTTTGGTGTGGAAGATATCGGCTTCCGTTGAGACGGCAAAGCATTTCAACAGGATTATATGAAGTCACATAATTTTCGGGTATCCTGGGTGATCCTTTACCCTCACTCTCTTGTCTCACTCTATATCATCCTATACATCATTATATATGTCCCGAGAACAGCCATCTGTGTTCTGTTTTAGGTGTACTATGGGCATTATCGACGTTGATTTGAACATGGAGTAGACGCAGCCTGGCTCGTATTTATAAAGTCTTACGTCTACTTCGATGTCCACCCTGCGATCTTTGCTTGGGTAGATGTGGCATGCCCCGTAGTCCTGGCGTGCAATGTGCACTGTAAATCGAAATCTGGTGGCTATATAGTCTACTTTTAATTGCATTCCGCAGTCGGATTCAATGACAATGAGTACATAATCAAGGTGAGAGACCTCCTATAGGTAATACCGAAAGTAATTGTATTCCCTTGAAACCAAAGCAGTTCGAAATTCAGGGCGGAAGCTACTGACCGGCAGATCCTCGCTTCGAACCAGTCTTATTTTTGTGAATGAGTTTTGGCAACCTGGCAGTATTCTAGGTGCTTTCTTCGGGTGCGGAACATTGGTAGCTCGAGTGGACTCATTGATATTTGGCCTGTTTTCTGAGCTTGTTAGTTGATGTGCAAACGTTCCACCACCATTCAGCATCGTTATTACTCTTTTGTGCGGGTGTTCACATCTGTGGTGGTTGTGTTTATATAGTTTAGCTGAGAGCAGATTCGATCTCCAACGTACTCTGCTAACGATCGTTTTGGTCCTCTGGTTTGTCTCGTAAAACGGCAGTCAAGGAAATAATGGGATGATAGAAGACGGATGAAACTAGTATCAACAGGAAAAATCAGCACCTTCCACGGAGTACCACCACATGGCCAATAAGAACCGAACAAAGGTCTATAACGGGTCAATAAGCATCCAGAGAAACGAGATATCGTTAGTCATCCACAGTAGAGCCTTAAGCCACTCTCGACCAAACTATGTAAACATAGACAATAGAGAATACCCCCCTCTCCCAACAGCGCACGGATGATATCTTCTCGATTGGTAAGGAAACATTTTCAACTCAGTTGTCATACTCGGTCAATAAGGTGGTAGCAATCAGTTCAGCATAAAAGTTTTCACCGAAATCTTTCTACTGCTGAGCGATCTAATTTTAAAATTTAGATTCCTTCCGTAAAGGTTACAAAGTTGAATGCAGTGGAATCAGTATAAGCCATTCGAGTCTTTTGGCTTTTATTGCATGCACTGTCCACCGCACATCCGCATTCGATACGTTAACGAACGTCTGTCGTCTAGCGGGTGCCCGTGTTTTCTCCGGCAACTGGCTGGATGGTCATCGACGAGTAATAATTGAGAAGTTAGCGGAAGGGTGTTTGTTATTCTTTGGGTAACGCCTCAGTGGCAGCAACAAATCTCGACACATGGAGAGAACCTATACAACTTCAGCACATACTTCAGTTATTGGTCAGAAAATTATCTTGTCGATCGGTTTATACTTCGGGGTGCGTCTTAATTCGTAACTTTGTTGGTCCAGGTACATCTGGAATCTCAACTGTCTGTTCCCGCGATTGTAACGCTTGATTTGCCGGACTAGTCCATCAGTAGGTGCCTACGCCCAGGACTGATGGCAGTTGACCTAGCATTTTGTTGCACATTTATGGTGTCTACCCATGTATTTCTATTCCTTTCCACTGCAGCCTGTATAAAAAAGTCCGAAGAACCCTTTGCTAGTGCTGAGGCGATTCTAGAAGGAAGCAATATCCCTTCTTCTTCAGACGGTCTTGGAGAAGCCGACTTCAAATCAGACACAGAGTTGGACGATGACTCCCGACCGCTTCGCCGGTCTCAAGTCAGAACTAGTTTATTAGATCCTGAGCAAGCTCGACATTGTGCTTCTTTGGAAGAGCTCGGAGACCATTCCCCCGTCCATGTGCCGGGTCATCCACTTGTGAGTTTAGTCTTCATTTATCTCGTATGCGGTATCATTGTATTGTGTCCGGCAATCTATTTCTTACCACCAGTTTGTTCCCCTTCTCCTGTGCTATTGTTTTTGATGTGCCCAACGATATGCTGCTACCGCTGGTTGCATAGCTCCAACAGTGGCTTATTCAGTAACTTTTAACGGAACATAAATTAAAGAACTGCATCTTCCCGATAAGCCAAAAGAAGGGAAAACCAGTTGCGGGCTTTCAAAGAGTTTCCATTTACCATCGAGAAACTTTCATTTTTGCTTAATAGAGGAAATTAGAGAGTGATGTTGGATGAAGCAGTTACAGTTGAATCGGATTAATTTTTCGATCAGACGTGGTTTCGGACTCGCATGCGAATGGTTACCATCTACCATCGACGACTCTCCAAACGCGAACAGAGTTGAATTACAATCGCCTTCGCGCTTTCCTTGTGCCTCATACAGTTGTGATGCTCATCCATTGTGAATAGGCTCATCAGTTAAATGTGACCGATTCTCAAAACCCGAGGGATCAATACTGTAAAATGTTTCGGAACTCAAGGTCGCTTTGAATATCCTCTCAAATCAGTTTCCTTGATTAAGCTGGGCGTCTTTGATTGGAAAAGCTTTGTATTTGTAGTCCGGGTGAGTGATAGTTTGAAAACTAACACACCATTTACTCCATGTGGTTTCTTCAAACAGCTTGACAGGCTAATGATAGCTTTTTTTTCAACCAAGTGGAATCGCATCATCAGCATAGTAACCCAACGGAAGCTGGGTATTCCCGTGTGGAATTCACCACACCATTTCCATGATGTGTGACTTATGAAGAATGATTAGCTTCAGAATGGAAAAATGAAACAACATCGCACCTCAAGAGGAGCCACTACGAAGAAGGGGAGTAATGGCTTCTTCTCTGAGGATCCTCTTTAGGGTTGTCCACTATACCTACTTTTAAATGGGCATCCTTCTTAGGGAAACATTGTACGCCTTTATTTTCAACACCGTTTTACGAAGATCGGTCTTCGTTTGTAATCGGTTGATGTATTGTTACTAACCAGATGTAATTGTTTATGTTACAACAACCGTTAACAGAAGCTTCTGATGGAAATTTCTTATGACTTTCACTACTGTTCCAGATTCCTTCGTCAGCTCGCCTTGCGGCTATCAGGCTAGATTCACGTAACGATCAACCGCTGGATCATTCGTCCCCTCATTCACGTAGGTTGTGTTCTATTTCATATCACATATCGCTTCACCACTCTATGCTAGAAGTAGAACTTTTTTCAAAGTTGTACCAGGAATCTCACTAGCTTTGGATGAAAAATCGTCGACCTTCTTATTCGCTATTCTCAATGAACAACCGGTCGTCTTCATGCCTTCATAGTGTGAACCGTTCACAACCATGCCCATCTTATTGGTTGTTGAACCAAACTAGGAGACAGCACGCACCGGTGATGTCTCCTGGTTTTTATGACAAAACGTTTGTAAGCTAATCGCGAACAGATCAGTAGCCGCCCGATCAACAACGAATAAACGTTTCCATCGCATTGCCAACACGCATGTCTTCTTTGCGCATACCCCCGGGCAATCGGACCATGTATTCGGAACTCATTTGAATGCATTTCTGAATCCAAGTTAGCCCAAAGGCTCCCCCTGAAAATAGGCAATGTTTCGAATAGCTAAGAAGTAGTTTCCCTGCCTCAAAGTCTCTACACCTACATCGCCTGTGACTGGTTCTATTCATCTCCGTATTGTGTGGAGTCTTATCGAGGTCATCAGTTTTTCTCGATATCTGCTCACGTTTAATGCACAACATCCAACTTCTCAATACACCTCACCTCAGATTTATTGAACAATTTAGATTTGCTCACCCAGAATCCCTCAGACTTCATGTTGCGTGCTCATAGAGTGTTAAACGCTATTTGGGTCGGCGCAACCTAAAGTTCTATGGGATCTCTCCCATACGCCGTTGCTTACCGTTTTCACTCCATCCATTGGTTTAAAAAAGCCCTATTCTACCTGCATACAGGTTTTATCAGTGGGTGCCTTACACCTTGGGAATAGTTTGTATAGGTGTCACCGAGACAGCAATAATGCTCTCATTGGTGATGATCGAAGCGTGTTTGCATGTGGTTCCTTCACTGTGCTGTTGACAAAATAATAGGAGGCAGTGGTTACCAAGTGCCCGTGATATTTCCAAGCACAGCCGATGAGGTGTCTTGTACTAAAAAAAACTAGCTTCCATCATATATTTTTCTTCTTTTCTGATACCTTAGGATGTTACGTTTGCACAGTTGACCTTTTAGAGCATGTATTTGACGTTAACAACGCTTGTGTGACCGTGCTCTGACCTGCTTTGATACAGCAACCACCAATGTCAGTCGGCACTATCAACGGAAACAATATGGACAATACGGTGATAGGAAAAAAATCGTTCAGCTGTAACACCCTTCTGGTGCCTAGCTGTCATGTCACCCGAAGGGAGCACGAGGGCTGGGATACTGCCAGGTTGCCCAAGCGTAGACAGGGGAAGTCGAGAGGCAGAGGTCGGGTTCGAACCACGGACCTTCCGGTTAGTGAATCCGCGGTCTAGCCACTTGAGCTGTCTCGCCCCATACGGCGATAGAACGAAACGCAGAACGATACCTGGGAGTTTGATTATATTGGATCCTCGGGACACAGTCCCTAAACTTGGATAGCTCCGTAAGGATCAGTTGGTCAACCATTCAAAGTCCGAGAGATGACTCATCTACTGAGTTGTCTAGCGGATACCCATTTATTGAATACTCCCCCAAACTAGTAGTGAAAGAAAATACGTGAAAACGGTTTAGTAGTAGGACTAACTGTGATCGGGCATTGCATTGTCGTCTCCTCCCTCAGTTGTAAACGATCGACTTAAAAATGGTCTAAATGGCCTTATCTTTTCGTATCGGCTTATTCGTGTTAAAAACTCATAGTCAGCGCTTGTAGTTGATGGTTTTCAGGACAGATGAAGCCCCACAGGAATGTGTTGGCGTACAAGATGGTCTGATTTGACTCCCAACTACTTCAATAATTACTTTTTCGACCCCTCTTCGACCATTTCCACCAACCAAACGCGGTTTGGTCTTTTGCCACTCTGACCGTTTCCGATTGTCCGATCTTGAGCCCGTTCCTCTAGGAGTGAACAATTTCCTGTTGCATTTATTCATGTGCGCAAGGTGTGGTTGTATAGGAGATTGATTGACCTGATGAGGGTGGAAGGTGAGGAACACCTGTTTGGCTACGGCAACCTAAGCTCTTTTAAAACACTCGTGGATATTTTTTCTAGAGCAATTGATTTTGGCAAGTTTGGGTTCTTGATTCACTTGGATTTTACTGCGTATCTGGTCTAGTTCAGGCTTTACTAGCTGTATGCGGTGATACGAGGATATCGCTGTGTGAGTGAGTGAGTGAGTGAGTGAGTGAATGAGTGAGTGAGTGAGTGAGTGAGTGAATGAGTGAGTGAGTGAGTGAGTGAGTGAATGAGTGAGTGAGTGAGTGAGTGAGTGAATGAGTGAGTGAGTGAGTGAGTGAGTGAATGAGTGAGTGAGTGAGTGAGTGAGTGAATGAGTGAGTGAGTGAGTGAGTGAGTGAATGAGTGAGTGAGTGAGTGAGTGAGTGAATGAGTGAGTGAGTGAGTGAGTGAGTGAATGAGTGAGTGAGTGAGTGAGTGAGTGAATGAGTGAGTGAGTGAGTGAGTGAGTGAATGAGTGAGTGAGTGAGTGAGTGAGTGAATGAGTGAGTGAGTGAGTGAGTGAGTGAATGAGTGAGTGAGTGAGTGAGTGAGTGAATGAGTGAGTGAGTGAGTGAGTGAGTGAATGAGTGAGTGAGTGAGTGAGTGAGTGAATGAGTGAGTGAGTGAGTGAGTGAGTGAATGAGTGAGTGAGTGAGTGAGTGAGTGAATGAGTGAGTGAGTGAGTGAGTGAGTGAATGAGTGAGTGAGTGAGTGAGTGAGTGAATGAGTGAGTGAGTGAGTGAGTGAGTGAATGAGTGAGTGAGTGAGTGAGTGAGTGAATGAGTGAGTGAGTGAGTGAGTGAGTGAATGAGTGAGTGAGTGAGTGAGTGAGTGAATGAGTGAGTGAGTGAGTGAGTGAGTGAATGAGTGAGTGAGTGAGTGAGTGAGTGAATGAGTGAGTGAGTGAGTGAGTGAGTGAATGAGGAGTGAGTGGTGTGACTTGGGTCATGACCTGACTTGTTGCTTAACCTAATTTAGATATCAGCAACCTTGAATTAATTTATCTTCTGTCATTGACGATAGCTTGAATATCTCACATTCGCGTCGCCCTTGTTTTAACTTTATCGACTTCATATGACGGAGGGGACGAATTCCGTGCATATTACAAAATCTCCGTTGTCAGGCTTATCAGGCGAACATCATCGAAATTTACAGCTCTATCATTTGTTGGTAGCATGTACCAATTCTGCGTTTTCCCGGTACATACCTCGGCAACTTTGCGTCTGTCGATGCTGGCTATTTTCGAAATCCACCAGGTACACATGTTCATTCCTTTTGAAACTGGCTCTAAATGTAATCTTTGTGTGTGGGTCGTGGGTATATTCACTTCTGTTGTTGATGAACACATCTATTGCGCTCAGTGATTCTTGAGGTAAAACTGTGCTGATGTTCATATGATGGGTCATCGTTCCGATGAATCCTATTTGGCATGAACTCTTCACCTTTGTATTTGTTTGTCAAACACAACCCCGAATCGAAAAGCTTCTTCACATTCGATAACGTCGTTATTTAGTTGTACGCAGACTCTGGTCCCCTGCGCTCCCTATTTCCAAACATATTTTGCTATAATTTTGTGATCCCTTTGGAACCACAGCTTAGGAGACTGGTTGGTAAATGGTTCTCTATCGCTTTGTCGGGTGTATCTGACTGCGTTTGTTACTCATTTCTGCATATCTGAAGTCACGAACGGCTGATTTATACACCAGCAACACATGCCATCCTTCAGTCCACTAAAAAGAACACACGTTTAGCTTAGACCCAACACCGAGCGTTAATCTCGCCCGGTAGCATGACTTCTGTGACCTCACATGTTGAGTAGGTGTCAAACCTGATAACCCATTAGCATTCCGGCATTTGACTACATTTGACTACGCTGCTGTACATTATCACAAAGACCCTTCACGTCGCTAATAGCCGATCAAAGATGTTTGTCAGCCTGAGGTACGATCCAGCAGAACAAAGACCCTTCACGTCGCTAATAGCCGAGGTACGATCCAGCAGGATCCCTGTGGCATCGCCTACTACACTGCCTAAATTCTCTCGTCTGAAATCAGCCGATGCGAACGAATTAGTGTGCTTACCGTTGCGGTTACACGTTTGTGCACAAATTAACCACGCTGGCGAGCATTCGTTTGTTGACCCAAGTGTTGTTGTAGCTGCTATTCGCGTAAGATTTGACACATGTTCCTCATGCTGTTTTTACAAATCGGTCACTGTGTGATTCGCGTCTAATATGTTAATGATCTGGTGCACAGTCTGCGAAACCTCACTGGCAATCTGACGTCTACCGATTGTCCGTCAATTCGTGACCAAGCAAGGTCTCTGCGCCACACGTATCGACAGCTTCCACTCTCACAGCACCATCGATCAGGTTGGAAGACCGGGGTTTGCCAAATATCACTGCGTGGTTGACATTCGTGTTTCCGGACGCTATGGCTTGCTGTGTTTGTTTGCTCGCTTCTTGAATGCAGTTGATCTATGGCCGTGTACCAGCACCACTTTTCAGTAAACCAGTTAGTCGTTTACTGCGCTTCACATGCGATTTAGTAGGTCTGCAAAAAATACTACTCCGAAGAGTGACTACTTTCAATAAGAGCGAACCAAGTGGCACGGTCTTAACTTTATTCGCTTCTCCGGAGATGTGGGCTTCCAAAATAGATGTTTGCACGATGGAAGTATCCTGACCACCCAGCTTCGGTGTGAATGTCATACTTACCACTACAGAAGATGTTAGTAAATCAGACACTGTACTTGGTCGCTGAACCGATCAATTTAGTTGCAACTGTTTTGTCACCGGTCGAGGTGCCTTGTTGTGTAGCGAACCGGTGCGTTATTCCGATCAACTATGGGTCTATCCATCCGATTTAAAAAATGAGCAGTACAGGTTGTTCTCTCCAAAATTGATATTCCGGTCGCCTGTTGGAGATCGAGTGAAGTAAAACTTACCCCACTAGACATTTTG